GCTAAGGATCGGTTCAACTTTCTCAGGGATATGCTTGGTGTGAAATCAGCTCAAAACTTAAAGGGGAGTGTTGAATTATAAGTATTTGAGCTGAAAAGTTTTTTAGAATAAGTTTCTGTTTTGAATTGGTGTATTCACTTGTGCAAATGAGGCAAAGTGTAAATGTCTAGTTTTGTAAAAAGGCCATGAGTGTCATGTGTTGAGTGATCCATGAGATTAGAAAGATGTGTGTCTAGGATGAAATGTAGTGTATGTGTGGTCCCAAGTGCTAGGCCATCAGTTATGTAAAAGCATGTGCTTCGTGCTTTTTCATTAACACAGAAAAAATATTCCTCTGCAATTTGACAGAGAGAAGAAGAAAACTATTCATCTTCTATTGTGTTCTTCGGTTTGTTTTTTGCTCTTAGTTAAGCTTTCTTTCTTAAGTTTAAATCTCTTGAATTCAGAAACACTAACAAGGTTTGGGGTAAATCAAGATGTGCATTTGGAGAGCTTGCCGTAATATACTCTCTACCCGTTCGGCGCTGTTAACCAAAGGGGTGGCGGTGGACAACACATGTCTTTTCTGCAGTTTCTCTTCAGAGTTGGTGCTACATGTGTTTAATTCTTGTCCTTTCTCCCACTCTATCTACCTTGTTGCCAACTTGAACCTTGTTGTCCCTCATAGCGTGTCAACCCAATTTTGTGAGTGGTTCCTATTATTGTGTGACCTTGCTTTCTACCGATCAATGCAATATGTTTTTGGTGCTCATTCACTCAATTTGGCGGGCCAAAAACACGTTAATATGGGAGGATAAACTTGAGAACCCTGCTTTGGTAGGCTATATGGACAATCTTTTTTTTTTTTTGCACAATTTCCTCAAAGCCCAACCTGCTGTTCCTCCCAAACCTTTGCACTCGCCATCCCGCTAGTGTCTTCCCCCCTCCGGATAGGTAAAAACAAACGTTGATGGGTCTTTTTGTTCTACTGCGAATTTGGGGGGTGTTGGTGTAGTTTTTTGTGGCGAAGTCGATAGCTATGTAGGAGGTTTCGTCCGAAAAATACCACACGTGACTAACCTCAACATGGTTGAACTTATGGCTGCTCGGGATGGGATTCTATGGGTTGTGCAGTGGCACTGGCAACAGTCGTTTTGGAGTGTGACACCCTACAGGTGGTTCAAGACATTGGTAGCTTGTAGAAGGGCTTCTCGCCTACTGATCTCTTGGTTGAGGATATCAGAGAGGGTCTGAGAGTCTTTGTTGAATCTAAGGTTTGTCATGTTTGTCGATCAAATGTTGCGGCGCACTGTATGGCCAAGTTGGCATTGTCCTCTAATTTCAATTCTTGTTGGTTTGAGGAACCTCCATATTCATTGTCGGAGGTTCTTCTACAAGACTGTATGCTTTCTTGATTTTTGATGAATAAATCACTATCTTTTTTTCTCCAAAAAAGAAAAAAAGAAAAAAAAAATTAAGTGCACAATAAAAAGATAAAATGTTAGAATCACAAATTCGTTTCTCTAGTTTCCTAATAAAGTTATGAAATAACACTGTGGAAGCAAGAACCAACAAACTGATAAAAATACGACATGGACGTAGCCAATGGTTTGACTTGATTGTATTTTTCTTTAACAACCGAAAAGAGGGTCAACCATTTGCTTTGAGTTTGAAAGTTGGTTGAAAATGGAAAAATAAAATTTTGGGCATTGCAATTTTAACCGAACTGCTAGAGTGGAGGAAAACAAGTAATAAAAAGGGCGACCTAAAAGTTGTGGAATGTGTCATGGTTGAGGGGAAAACCGAATGTCATACGTTTGTTGACATACTCATGTTGAATATTTCAAGAATATATATATATATATATTTCATATATATGTGATTGGTGCTGCATTGTGCAGCATGTGTGTGGTGCTGCAGTGCGCAGCATGTGTACAGTCGGCAACTCCTTACAAAATGTTGGGTTTCATTCAACCTTTGTATATTTTGTTAAACGGTTGCAACTTTGGTTAAAAGACATGATGCTTACTCAAATTATATGAGTAAAATTAAAAGATATAAATAATCAATATTTATTCTCTGAAAATTCTAAATAAAAGACATGTCTTTTGGGTCAACACTATTAAGAAGAGTTATATATCTTCAACTAAAATGAAATGACTCGATGAACGGGTGCTTTAATGCCTATAAATACATATTGTGGCATAATGTTTCACATACATTTCAGAAATTTGTTGTCTAAATAATTTCTTTGCTCTCTTTTCGCTCTTCATCACATTCATACAATTTCTTTCTAGTTATTTCTAAGGGAATACAATTCGGTTTTGCTAATCAAATATTCCATACTTTATTGTATCATGTAAATGATTTGCCAAGAACCCTTTAGCAAATTCATTCGAGTGTGGGCAAATAACACTTTAAGAAAACGATTCAAGTCGTACCTCTCATTCGGATTATTCTCTATATTTCTACATTTACTCTAACAACTCATGACATCAACAAATTAGATAAAATCATACGTTTTTAGAATAATGAGTTATTCTTCTTATATCACGACTTAACATTATTTTATTGTATAAATTACATTATTCGAACAGTTGAGTCAAAATGACTATCAAAAATCAAAGGGAGATCACGAACATCTTTCAAGAGCATATCAAAAGTTAAGTGTAGTTAGAGAGCATTGAAGTATGCTATAATATTGCGACACAACGATGACATCATAAAAAAAACAACATTAGTTCCAAAATTATTGTAATAAGGTTTTTGGTGCATTATATGGCTTTCATGTATTAACTCTTGAACAAGTAATTTTTAGCGTGAATGTAACACATGTTAAATTGGAGTGAATTAGTAAGACTATATTAAATGTTAGATGGTGTTATTTTTAGTTCTTTTTTCTCTTTCAAGATATAAAATTAAAATAGTCCTAATTAACTTTTTATATATAAAAAAATTATCAATATTAAGCGGAGAGAGAGAGTTCGAAACTATTATAGTAATTTAAGAGAGGTAGGAGGAGTTTCGTACACAGTACTTGGATAAAATTATTAGTAAACTTATACTACCACTCTTCCTATATTTCTTGTGTGACCAAGAAGGAAATTATCTACATCTCTATGCATCTCTTATTATACTAGGTGGCTACTAGGTGTCCACGTTATCACTGAACGCCAATAATATTATCACTTCACGCTGTTGATCTAATAGAAGTCTAATTTTCAAAATGTTATGTAGTCTTATCAAATGTTTTAAAAGGTTGAAACCAATTTGAAATCAGACGAGGTAAGGTGGTTATCTGTATTAAACCTAAAATCCATTCTTCTTTTACCTGTTCATTTTTTAGGTAAGATAAAGGAATTGTTTACGAAATATGACAAAACGAGAGAACTAGGGAAGTGCACACAATAGTCAATACCCGGACATATCCGGATTTTAGGTCAAGCAATGCCATTGCTTTGCCATAAGGATCTTTAGCAGAGAATTCAAACCAAGGTCATGAAATCTTGTTCATTTTTATGTTTGTCAGAATGTTTAGGTTCATAGTCCAGCTTTCTTCCACGAAATATTTTGACCTATACCAAGAGATAAATTTAGGAGACATAATCTAGTGCTACATGCAAGCAGCCCTCTTCATTTCGTAGTTGAAGAGGCCGTCTGCGTATATTATGCAAAGAGGGGAGGGGAACTAAAAATATAGATAATTATATATGATGTAATTCGGAAACATGCGAAGTGACTGGAGCATGGATGCATACCATTTTGTATGCGTTTTTACACACGAAGACAAACAATTAACGCTCAAAATTTGCAGGTTAACAAATTAAAATATAGGACCCTTAGATCTTCACAACTTGACATTTAATGCACCACCTACATAGAGTAGCATACTAAAACTTTTTTTCCTATCAACAAGGTATTCAACAATGAAGTGGCAAGCGTTCAGTCGAGAAGGTATGCCTTTTCAGAATGGTACGAGCCGAGCATCTCCCTCGGCCTTGGTTATCTTACCCCGTCTCTCCGAGTGCTGCTCTGAGCACATTTATGTTCCATCTTGTGGGCTGATTGTCCTCTGCCAGACTTGCCCCAAGAGACTTGTGTCATAAAGCTGTCAGCCTCCCACGTGCCCCTAGTGATTGAAAAGTTCTTTACATATCTTGGTCGAACTGGGTTTATAAGCAATCGACTTTAGCACGCGGGATCATTCTTTTCTAAGCTTATCTAGCCTTGGGCTTCTTGAACTTCTTTGGGCTTTTCATGACTTCTTTTCGGGCCTACACCATTATATGGGCCTAAAAGTGCCTTGTTAACAGGCAATAATGTAATTTTGCATATACCAAATTTTGCTTTTTTTTTTTTTTTTTTTTTCAAATCTCATCCACATATCATCATAGCATCTTTAATTTTTTATTTTTATTTTTAAACCCACTCTCTCTCTCTCTCTCTCTCTCTCTCTCTCACTCACATTTCTCTCTAACTACTCTCTTTTCCATATTATAGTTTTTTTAAACTTTTATATTTACACACACAATAGGTGAGCTTCATCTAGTTATAACAAAATAATATAAAATGTTGAGTTGGCAACTAAAATACTGATGTGAAAAGAAGTCAAAAGACTTGATCAAAAGTTGAAAAGATACAAGTTTCAATCGAAGTAATATCATCACTACAGATAGGCACTTAAATTTCCTTTTTTTTTTAATTTTTTGAAAAGGCAATGTAAGCTTTAATTAGTACAACAATATCATTAACCTTCAATTTCAATTCCAAAAATATTATTCAAATTTTTTGGTTAAAAAGTAAAAAGTAATGCTAGGGAAATTAAATTTGGAAACTAAAACTGCAAACTAAATGATATGTCACCAATAGAAATGAGCATGTCTTTCAAGACTTAAGTAATAAACTAATCATTAACTTTCATGTCCTTTGATTTTCAAAATTTAGTCTCCAAATTGAGTCTCTGTAACATTACTCAAAAGTAAAACATCACTACAAAGAACAAAAATTAAATACAGGACATATCAATACCAATGTGACTGCTGAACTTATCAAATATAGTCTCTCAAAAACTTGCATACCAAGTCTTATTATTTGCTTAAAAATAATTGATTATGAATATAAAGTGTGTTGTGTTCATTGTCTTTCAGCACCAATTGATCATTAATGCCAGCCGCGAAACACTGGGAAGACGGGGAACCTCATAAGCCCGTCCTTACAATGTAAACCATCATGTTCACCGCAAGCGAAGTAGTAAGGCCGCCACCTCTTTAACACAAACTCAAAGCCGTCTCCGCCTCCTTGTGTCTGATTTCCCACCATTCTTGCTCGACTCAAGTTACAGTTCCAGAAGCTCTGAAAGTCTTGGAACAAGTATACGCTGTGAGGACGTATGGTGTTGCTTGGTGGTTCATACTTGAAAACTGCAAACATCCAAAACACCATTTATCATGTAAATACTTGTTCACTTCTATTTACAAAGGAAAAAGCATTGCTCATATCGAAACAAATTGCGGAGACTCGATGAAAGTTTCGTTGTTATAGATCAACCATTTGACACATCATGTTACCAAATTGTTGATATATAATTTACAACAGGAATTATATTCTAGACTTAAAACCTCTTATTTACAAGTGAAGAGAGATGTTACTAGATCGTAGCACTAAATGGCAAAACTAGAGAAGCTAAATAAGTGACATCTTTGCAAACAACAATTTAAGGGGGGAAATGTACAACAATTTTGAGAACTCACCTAGAGTATCCTTGATGTAAATTGGACCATTCTTCAATGCCCAATCTGTGTAGTTAAATCCGAAATGCCAATTTTCCGAACCACCAACTACGATCTTGTTGGGTCCTTTGGTCTTATTGAGGTGGTATGAGCCATTGTTGAACCCCGAGCCAGTGTAATTACCATATTGCCAATCTTTGCTGGCTGTGCTAACTGCCAGCATCGAAGCAATTAGCACCATTGCTAATGTAATCTGTGCAAAACTGGAACCCATTATTTTCTATCAGATGCAAAAACTCAAGGAATGGAGTGGTGAAATTTAGGGATGAGGGGTATGAAACTTAAGATTGTGGTGAATGCATAATTAGTAATGTGGGTTCTTTTATAAGCCAATTAAGTAGTGCAAACCGGCCAAATTGAAACCTTTTCAACATTGGTGGGTAAGACAAGGAAAGGAAATGTTGTAAAATTATAATGCTACTCCTAATTAAGTTTAAGTCCCCCTAAGTTAGTCTTCCACTTAATGTCTTTCTATTAACATGAATTACATGCGTCACCTGTTTGGTATATATGTCAAAATTAGATTTATATTTTCTTAATGGCCAGAGTTAATACTTGGTTTCTTTGGAGGTCCTAATTTCTGCTTTATAACAAATAAGTCTTTAGACTCTCAAGTGTAGCACAAGGTAAGAATAAAATTATGGATGTAGAGATGACGCATTTTACCAAGAGAATTAGACGTATTCATTTTTTCTATTTGATTTGAACGATATTCAAATTAATTTAGTATAAACAGTGCAAAAAATGATTCATAGTTGAATACAAAAGAGAAAATGACACTACTCTAATCAAATTGGCTAAACATAAGTTTGCTAAGCGTCCACTTTTAATAAATAGTAAAATAGTGACAACCTCCAAAGTCTTATTGAGGGCTCTTAGATAATGTGTTTCTTTCTCATTTGTATCCCTTTAGTTAGGTTTCCCTCTTTAATTAGTCGACAAAAAGAATTTTCTTATATATAGTGTAAATACGAACTTCGGCCCTCTGGTTTTCTAAAGAATAATTAAGTGCAAAAAAAAAAAAAAAATAGGTAAAATGTTAGAATCACAAATTTGCTTCTCTAGTTTCCTAATGAAGTTATGAAATAACACTGAAGCAAGAACCCAACAAACTAAGAAAAATAAGACATTGATTTAGCCAAGTTGGCTAGAGTAGTGTGCTATCTCTCTCCGCACCCAAGTTCGAATTCGCCTCTCATTAATTTAGATAAAACTCCTCTTAGTAACTTAGATAAAACTAGTGTAATTATTCTATCGTTTGTAGAAAAAGAAAACGTATTCCAAACAAATAAAGGAAGCTAACATAATCGATATTTTTCCAAAAATGAATGGTAAGGGAGCCAATGGGTTGACTTGATTGGAGGGATTTTGTCTCTAACAACCGAAAGGAGGGTCAACCATTTGTTTTGAGTTTGAAAGTTGGTTGAAAATGGGAAAATAAAATTTCGGCCATTGCGATTTTAACCGAACTACTAGAGGGGAGGAAAACGAGTAAGACTGGCTACCCCAAAGTTGTGGAATGTGTCATGCTGAGAGAAACGGAATGTCTTACGTTTGTTGACGTACTGATGACATCTACAAATTAAACAAGAACAATACCTGACTACTAAAAAATAAGTAATAATTCTTACTCAAAATTTTTAGTGTTTTAATCACAGAGCTTTGTACTTATGATCAGAATAGTTCATACTATGAATCACACTGTAAAGATTCATCTCTGCAAAAATAAAAAAATTAAAACTAAGGTCGTTTAGTCAATCTATTATAACAAATACATAGTTGGTGTGTAATACTTTTACCAATACCGTTCATTTGTTTTTAAACAATTTGATGATTAAACGACTTTAGTTTTAATTGATTTTTTACAAATTCGATCTTTATAGGGTGATTTATAATATGAACGGTTCCGATTATAAAACACGAGGTTTTATAAATTTACAACAAATAATTTTAAGAAATTTTGAGTATGAATTTTTACTTATCTTTAAATAGCTAAGTATTATTCATTAGACAAAATCATACGCCTTAGACTGAGGAGTCATTCTTTTTAATATGATGTAATATTATTTTATGATATAAAAGTTATATTTGACCAGTTAATTCAAAATGACTATCAAAAAGCAAAAAGGATATCACAAGGGTCATATCAAAAGTTAAGCGTAGTTAGAAAGCAACGAAGTATGTTATATTATTGTGTGACATGACAATGACATCACACACAATGTTAGTTCCAAAATAATTGTAATTGTAATACTGTATTTTGTGCATTATATGGCTACTATGTATTAACTCTATGACGAGTAATTTTAGCATGAATATAGCACGTGTTAAAATTTGAGTGAATTAATAAGATTAGATTAAATGTTAGATGATTTTTTTTTTCTTTTCATGATATAAAATTAGAATTGACACATCCCGACCTAAATCAGGACAGGCTAGCCGTCACGTGAGGGTGACGTAGCCATGTGGCAATAGAGATATAAGGAATTACGAAAAAACAAAAGCCAAATCAACTAGAATACTAGATAAGATAAGGTGCAAGTGCGAGATTAAGTGTGAAATACACAATCAGAGCATAAATAGCCTAAGTGTAGTCAGGCAGGACAAGTACTAATTATACAACACCTAAAGGTGATCCTGCATTTATTATGTTCTGTCAGAACCACTGTCGAAATCCCCGTGAGCCACCAAAGCACTTCTACCTAAAACCTGGAGGGGTGCAAAACCAGAAAGTGTGAGTGGGAAAAAACAAAGCTTCTCCAAAATCATTTCATTTCTCAAAAGTTCTAACCCCTCGTTGTAAAACCTGTATAATTTCCCAAAAAAAAATATATATATATATATATAATAACAGAAATCATGCTCAGGATGAAAACCCATAAAAATATACCATGCCAAAGTATCTTAATGAAATGCCATAAGTAATCCAACTAAAATATATCAATGTCAGATATCATATCAACCGAATCCAACTAACGTTACTTGCACGGCTAAGTATATAGCTCATAACCAATCTCAATCATATCAAATCCTGCACACAAGTCGGAACCACCTAAAGTGGTATGTACGACAAGACTATGTGTAAAATAAATATGCTCTAATGCTACGATCACGTGAAGACTGTGCGAATGATCGCGAGTCATCTATGAGTCGAAACCACCTAAAGTGGTATGTGCGACAAGCCTGTGCACCTAACTTGGATCCAATGTGAGCATATGGTGTGGGAGGTGAACATCACGTGAAGGACTGTGCCCTAACTTTGGACGGGAGCACTACCACCGGGGTGCAGGTTTATGAGCTCTAAATACATCATATCATATCTCACATAACTGAAGTAATCTCATATCTTTAATTTATGAACTTACCTGGCACTTACCTGTGCGTCCGTAACACCAATCATAAATATATGTAACTACTAATGTATAAATAAAATAGGCAGATACTTTCCATGGCATTTCAAAACGTAAAATCATTCAAATTCAATTTTTGGGAAAAATCTCAAGTATATAGGTATATACGGAAAACCAAAAGCCCACTCACTGATATGTCGAAGGGTCGTAGCCCCCGAGCCTCGATTGATGGTGCTCGTCCTCAAGATAGGTCTCACTTATATGCGAAATAACTGAATAAACATTATTTAAAGCACATATATAAAATTAGGAAATAACTTCTCATACAATGCTCAAATGGGGTGTTTGAATATACCAGTGTGATCTACTCAACACCACGAACATCCCCATATTTTTAGAAAAAATTTCCGAGCACCCATGCGCCTTCACGCGCCGACCAAGGCACGACCAGACGGGCGGCTCACGCGCAGGCACGTGCCTGGCACACCAAACGGATTCCCTAACGGTGTTAGGGAATATTCTGTTAAATATAAGCATATACCGTTAATTATACCTGACGCCATTAATCATCGTTAGGAATATTCCGTCAAAGTTAACGGATATTCGTCTTCTTTTCCGGTGAGTCACCGGATTCCGTCACCTTTGCCAGAAACTGGGAAAAGTTTCTAAACTTCATATATTCTTCATTTCTCAACCAAAATTCATGAAAATTAAACCAAAATGAAGCTTACAACGAGTAGAACAAAACCTTATCAATTTTAATCCCTAAAATCCACGGGATCTTGCCAGAAAAAGGCACGATAATCCGGCCACCTCTACAACTTGTCGAATCCGAGCCTCCTGACGTCCAAATCACTCCAAAGTTACTCCCCGAGCTTCGTGAAGATGTTTTAAGGCTTCCTATGACCTTAAAACTTGTTGAAAGATCCATATTTACGACTGCATGAACGGTGCTTACGATCGGGGTTCTCTGGTTTTCGGGTTTTCGAAGGTTTCACGTCTAAATAAGGTTATGGATGAGCTCCTGAGCTCACAAAGAACACGAACACCACCTTCATAGCCTTGATCAGTGACTGGAAGTGAAGGTTTGAAGTGTGTCCGTACAATTGTACGGAAATGGAAAGAAGTCCGAGAGAGGGAGAAAAGAGAGAGAGTCAACGGGTTGATTGGGTGTGAGTGTGTGGTCCTAGTTTGGGCTACCAACCAAAACAAACAAAAGTTTAAGTTCTAATTGGGTCCAAAAACTTAGGAACTTAATATATTGGTCCACCTCTAAAAGCATGTCACACATAACACACCTCAACGTCCAAGGGCAAAATAGACATTTCACACTGACGATAAAATAATTCGGGATAGGCTGTGACAAAAATAGCCTTAATTAAAACTTGTACTACAATTCTTCCTATATTTTTTGTGTGACCGAGAGTGAAGTTATCTTATAAGTACTAAAGATGGCTACTATGATCCACAAAATCATTGAACGCTAATAATATCATCACTTAACAATGATGACTTAACAGATGTTCAATTTTCAAAACAATAAGTTTTTTGAAATGTTTGAAAATGTTAAAACTAATTTGAAATGAGCCAAAGTAAGTTGATTATTCGTACTTAATCTTAAAAAAAAAAATTTAAAAAAATGCTCCCTAAGAAGAAATTGACAATAGTTCCTATGCAGGCGAATGAGGCAAGGACGCACTTGTACAAATGGATCAACGCGGCTTTGGATATTTCTATTGGCGAATCACTTTTTGGCTCCACAATATTCAACACAATTACATTAAAAGCTTCATACTATAATATATTCAACCTGAATTATATTCAAGGGTATGTAAATGCCAAATACAATTGAGGAGAGTTCAAGGCTGAATTATGATATTCAACCTTAATTATATTTACATGTTCCGATAAACATAAACGAAAAGAC